GAAGCGTCGTATCATCCACGCGGTCCTGTTCCAATTGCTAGAGGTTTTGCGGAAGTGGCATAATGCGTAACGCATCGGAACGAAAGATGTAATTTTGCCCATAGGAAATTGGCACTCTCGATAAGATGAGGGCATCCGGCTAACCTTCATTCAGGTGTGATGGAGACATGAGGCAATACCTTTTGCGGCATTCGACGAGATAGGCGACGACAACGTCCTGTATGGAGTTCTTCAACCCGTATTTCCTCTCTAACACCATAATCTTCGCCTTTAATCTGTTGCCTCCACTTGATAAGTATCGAGCTCGGTTTCTGCGTCCAGAAGACCTGTGTGATTATCTGTTTTCCTAAAGACGAGACCTTGTATAGAAGAGAACTGGTAATATTCACAGCAGTCGCCTTTGGGATTTCGCTGACACGGGCCACATATCGGTCGCACTCTGTCACATTTTCAAAGGCGATACCCAGTTGATAATCCTTTCTCCGTAGTGAGCTACGACGGACCTACTATTTCGAAATCTGAACGAGTACGCAGCCGAGATAATACAAACTGGGCCCATACCTGCAATTCAAGCAAGCTTGGCTTACGCTTGATGAGGTGTAGACGGGGGGAATGATAGTGTCGGACATCATGAGATTCACGTAAAGCGAAAACTCTCTATCACACCATCACGTCGTCGAGGATGTTGCCATCGCAGTGTAACACGGTCCTCAGCGATATTGGGTGTATTTCTTGATCCTTAAAGTTGATCATCATATGGTCTTGAAACTGCCGAGAAGTGGTAGGATCTGGAAGGATGAAGGATGTTAATGTTGGTACAGTCTTTACAGTAAGATTACACGTATCGGTTCCTTTACTCGAAGCCTCTGGCATGCACCTTAACAATATCGGGTGGTCTCGGAGTTTTTTGTAGGCACTCCAGATACCTTCCAACAACATTCTTCTTGTGGTCTATAGACATGAGACGAACAAGAACAAGAACAGGAACATGGGGCTCCTCTCGTAGTCTAACATAGGCGTGAAGCAAAGGTCAAGGGTAGAGTACTGGTAGCGATATCAACAAAGCGAACGTGACTTAAGGATGTGAAAATTTTTGTCCCCCCCCACCGAAGGACGAGGCAAATCCAAACGCAGGACACTGCGTCTATCCTCGATGAAACAAACTCGAACAAAAAATAGGTACGACTTCATTGACAGACCTATGCCTGCGGTCCACACACAGAGTGGTTAGGCCCCCGAAGCCGTTCCACATCTCCGTATCCAACCCCCACGCCAAGTTCTCGTTATCGTTTGGCAGAGTCCCACTTCCTGAACGAGCAGCGTACTCGCATCCCAGCATCGATAAAACACTGCAATGAATCATACTCTGACGTGACCGCTTGTTGTCCGGGGATCTCAGGGACGACGACAATGATGGTAAACGCTCGCAGACCATTGAGCCGAGATGCGAGAGCGCGCTCTAAAGCTTCTCGAACGGAAGGTTTGAGTGGGAAAGTAGTGAGAGTGAGGTCTGTCAGTCGGGGAAGGAAACTGCCCGAGTGACTGTCCTCGGCGTTAAATGCGAGTCTTTCCAGAAATGCTTTTGTGATAATTTTGTTTTTGGGTGGCCGTTCGCGGTTGTTGATACGGACCGGGAATTGACGTTCTTGAATGGAGAGGTTAGTGAGGGCTGGTAAGAGGGCGAGAAGGTGGAGTGCTTCCGTGTCGGATAGAACTAAATCTCCTATGTCGAGTGAGCTGATAGGGCAAGAGGAACGAATGAAGAAGTTCGTCAGAGTGTCCAGGCTCCAGCACGATGGAATAAATATTGGACGACCCCGAATCTTCAGAGATGACAGAGACGGAAGAGAGAAAGCGCGGAAGAAAAATAATCCCTGATCTTCTGAGCTACAAACAGATACGTATTTCGTTTCGGCGAGAATAGTATGGGGAATCTCTGAGTCTTCTTCAACTAATAAATCACAGTCCAACTTTAGTCGTTGGAGATTTCTGCAGAATGAGGTTATGTGCAGAACATTAGTGGAATCAGTGCGCGACAGCTCCAAAGACTGGATCTGTGACCAGGGAAAGTCGCATTTAAACCCTGCTGGTATGACCCCACCGCGAACGTGAATCGAGTTGAGTCCGGAGCACTCATTGAAAAGGGCAAGATCAGAGGCCATCAGATCTCCCGCCTCACAACTCCCAAAATTCAGGAGCAGATGCTCCAACTTCGGGAGACATCCTCTGAGGCGTCGAAAGGGTGAGGATGGATCGCTAAGAACTAAATGGTCTCCATTTACACCAGGGAATCCCAACCTGCGCCAACGGTCGGACTGCGCCAAAAGGCAGTTAATGCCAGCCTCGAGAGGTTCCAATGTATCTTCGTCAAGGGAGAAGAACTCCAACAATAGCAGTTGCCCTTTTGAACGTTCCATGAGGAGCTCAACCAAATGACAAAATTGTCCACTACGCCTTCGTGTAATAGTGCCATCTTCGTCTGTCCATGTATCGAGTTTGAGAGTCAACGACGACCAAAGGCGAGGTGATGCCAAAACGAGCTGCCTCCAACGTCCACAAACTTTAGATAATGAGATAGCAGTTGGTGGATTTTCGGGCTCGATGGTGTTCGTTTCGCAGCAAAACGAAAAGATATGGGTCAAGATCTCCGGTGGCATGCGACGAATGGGTGACAGCAGTGACCGATATCTTGTTATAGCACCCTGAAGATCATCCCTTCTCCCCTTCAAAAGAATCACCATTGCTTGAAGTCTGTTGATTTCCGCCTGGTAAGTTCTTAAATCAACTTCTGCATTGGCAAGACACTGGTTGACAGTTTGTCGTTGGAAGTGAGAGAGGGTTTGACGAAAAAGATCCTGAATTACTGAGAAGCGGTTTGGAAGATGCTCTGGAAACGTGAACGAGGTCGATGAAGCGCTTTCGCCGTGATGAGTACCGGACATAGTGGTAGTCGCGTCCACGGTCCAGCCTCAGGTCACTTCTTTTTCTCCGACTTATGTAATTCCCTACCCTCCTGCCCTCCGGATTCTACCACTCATGATCATCTCCAATGATGTCCCAAACGCGTATAAAGTTGAAGACAACCCATCGTCACCACCCTTCGCGAATTCAGAGCTGTTAGACCGATTCTGCAATTCAAGGTCTATTCCGCCACACAGTATCTTCTGCCCAACGACAAACTCTCTCGATGCTGCAGAGGCGGTCTATTATCAAGCGGGAATAACCAAGTTCAAAGCAATTATTGTCTTGGGGACGAGAGTATCGGTGTCTGTTGTTGCCTATCCGTCGGATGCCACTGGAGATTTTGACCGAAATATTTCCCCTATGCGCGGCATACCATAACGTTCGGGAACACTCCAAACGCCATGCAATTAGCTGGTGGGTGTCTGCAGACTCGGCAATGCCTCGTCTTCGGCAGTTGATGACCTTTCAACTCGATACTTGGGAAGACGATCAGTAAAGATGCCAGAACTTTACCGCTTGGTCAGACTTTTTCATAGAGCACTCGAGAAGGGAATTATTGTACTAGAGTTCAAGACGAAAGTATGAAACCCTCGAAGCTGGGCTTGACTGTTCTCTGAGACAGTCTGCTCGCTGGTGTAGCTTGTCGTTCCCAGGAAACATATCCTATTCTCTTAGCGATCCCTCCCCGCCACCCTCTCCCCCTCGAAACCTTCGAGGACGCCTTCCAAATCCAAACACGTACTCTTAAGTTTTGGACATCGCGAGGAAGAAGACCTGATGACCTTCGGCCTCTCTTTTCCAGTGATTGCTCCAAACTCAACTCCATTTACATTCGCGGAACAAGGATACAGGCAGATTTCAGGAGCAATTTTCTGTGGTCACAAATTCAATCCTTTACATTTTCGGCGGTCGGAGTTGGAAGGAATGGATTTCGATGACTTGAAGTCACAGGAAGGCCTATTCACTGCCCAACAAACTGAAATCCGTGTCTGTGTCTGTTAAAGATATGGAGGATCATGGATTATTCCTGTTCTAGCTTTTCACCTTCTCGTCTCTAAGCCTTCGCCGTCGGTTGTGGTCAGGGGCTTCCACCGGGAGATTCTTTTCGTTCACCCGTGTCACACCACATCACTCGCGATAAACTATCTGATATAGAGACCCTCGACCTCCTTACTTTCATGCCGACCCTCACCAGTCTCATTGAAGAATGTCGATATTCGCATCGTGACTAGAGGCCGACTTTAAAATTCGCACTGAAACAAGATTGTCACAACAAACTTGCTACAGAAATGAAGAAGGACCCGTTGGAGTTTGATTCTATAACCTGTTTCAAAGCCGCTGGGATACGAGTACATGCCGGTTGTCGACGATGAGAACGTGTACTACGAAACGTTTTGGAAAAGTGGGTTGTCAGAAAACTGGCAACGGAGAGACTTACGCGGAGGGAAGGGAACGAAGATGGCCGGGAAGGGTCGACGTGATTCAGTGTCCGTACGAGTGAATATGACTCTACAGTGTTGGGTGAAGCTGTTTGTGGGAGAAGACGAAGAAGACGGGATAGGCTCGCTCAACTACAATTAACGCACATCCGTGGTACTGAGCTTGGCGGTCGACCCTATCCTTCGAAGGACGACGACAGGCGGGGATGATGTGCTTTGGGGGCCATCGCTTCCGGATGCCTCTTTCTCCTCTTGAGGGGGGGCTTCTCCTCGAGATTTGGAAGTGGCCGTCGACAATATTTTCGTTCTGCGTGCGACCTTGGGCGGACGAGGACGAGTTTTGCGTGCGCTAGGTTTGGGCATGATCCACCATTCTGAGCCGCCTGGGGACATCAAAAGTTTCTTTTTCTTCCTTTTTCGAGAAACTTCCGACAAGGTGACAGTTGGGTTTTTTTCAGCTAACCTCGTCATCGATGGGGGCGAGCTGAATTCAATTGGGGTTGCCGGTATTGCAAAGGCTCATTGGTTAAAAAGATGATCATAACAGGGCTAAATTTGGGAATATACTTCATATAAATTGAGACTACTATAGTATATTCCCTCTTAGCTCAGTTGGTAGAGCGCGTCACTAGTAATATTCTATGTCATGACGAGGTCAGTCGTTCAAGTCGGCTAGAGGGAACTGGGGAGTGGGTATTATACCTTTCTTTTTTCTAATAGGAAGAACAGCTAGTTCGACTTATATGACGGACAATTACAGCGACTTGAGTATAATGTCACCTTTTCCCAAGCTCAAATATACTCGAGTATTGTTACGCCCTGCCTGAGATGGAGTTTTCGACAACCAAGTACGAATAAAAAAAGAAGGGCCCAGCCAATTTTCTGTCCCAAGCGTGCAGCGCTGCTGGCGAGCCCCGAAAAGGAAATAAATTGTGGAATTATAGCACATATGTACGAACGACAGCGAAGGGAAACTAAGTAGTTGATACTGAACGTTGAATACACATAGTCCACATAGTCATCATCACCATTGTCGTCTTCCACCTCTGGGATTACTATTCGGACCTTGGTAAGGACTGTAATCAGGTAGACCTCTCTTCCCTAGAAGTGTGTTAGTCAGGGTGATCAAATTTGGATGACTTGTGGGAGACATACCTCGGGGACCTGGTGATCGTGAACGGTGTCTTCCGCCCCCACCTCCGCCTCCGCCCCCGCCCCCACCACCGCCGCCGCCGCCGCTGCCACTACTACTAGGTATCATAGCGCCTCGTAAAAGATTCATCAGATCGTCTGTTCTGAATACTGGTCCTGAGAGCGAACGAAAATGTGAATAAGGACTCAAGATGAAGAAACGGAAACACACCATCAAATGCCTTCTTATCAGGCAACTGTGTAATAAACCAAGGTATCTTGGCAGGAGGTTGAATACCTTTATCTTCGTCCCCATCGCCCCTACCGTCTCTATCTCTATCTCTGTCCCTATCCCGGTCCCTATCCCCACCTCTACGACTACGGTCAGGCGAACGTTTGCGAGAGCTGTCTCGAGGGGGAGCGGGCGATGAAGCTCGTTGTCGTTTGTGGCTTCCTCCATGGTCTCTGTCATCACCACCACCACCTCCTCGTCTTCGGCCACCCCCGCCTCCGCCACCGCCCCCGCCCCCGCCGCTGCCAGCACCACTACTCGATCCCTCTTCAATGTTCCGCCGCTTTAAGGTTCCGCTCGACGATCCACTGGCACCGTTCGTCAGACTCTCAACTGTACTGGTGGGCGTGATTTCCTTCTTTGCCCTCGCAAAGCCGAGGTCCCGTGCGGCGATAGCATCAGTGTTGAGGTACATGTAGCGTTGTGCAAACAGTTTGATCGGCGATTCTATAGAAAATAATTAAAAGCGCGAATTCATCGTAGGGAGCACACATACCATTTGGGTAAGTATCTGCAAACCGCTTCTCCAGCTTCTGTACAGCCTCAAGGTCACCATACTGGTATTCGTATCGTGCCCAACGCTCCCAGAGTGGCCTGGCTTCTTTAGGTTGGAAAGTCCCGATTACGCGTTCGAAAAGTGCTCGCGCGTCTGTTGTGTAAGGAATGAAATTGGAATCAGTGAGAAAGGGGAGATAATAGGAGGATGCAGGAAACAGATGTGGAAAAACCACTCACTGGTCTGATCATTAACCGTAATTAAGAACCCAAGATACCTGAGCACGTAATCATTATCCTTCCCAAAAAGCATCATCCCCCTCTCAAATATCCTGACCGCAACATCTTTTTCCCCACTACAATGATACTCCATGAGCGCTGCGGCTTCGTAAACATTCCACGGTGTAAGTGGGTCTTTCCTTGATTGCATGAAGATAGTCCTCGAAGCAGCGACTCCCTCTGCTCGACGCACGAATCTCATGAACATTATGTAAATGAGGCCATATTCTTTCCGACGTTCAATCAGTTCTTCAGACGGCGAGGAGGAAGAAGAGGTTTCGGGGCCTTGACTACCGGGTTGAGTCGACTGTGATTGATTTTGTTCATAAGTTTCGCCGTCGCCCTCCTCTTTGCTAGCGGCGGCGGCTTCTGCAGCTGCAATTCGAGCTTTCTCAGCTTCGTCGAGAGTGGTGAGTTCAGTGCGGAGAGTGGTGAGGAAGCTTTGGTAGATTTTGTGGACTTCTTGATTCTCTTTTTTGGTTTCAAGGGCTTCAACGAGGGCGAAGGTAAGAAGAAAACTGTGAACGACCATCAGTGGTACATCGAAATGAATTCATTAGACTCGTACCTTGACGGATTGGCTTCTAGACCCGATCTGAGGACTGCGAGGCTTTCCTCGTGCTTCCCGATACCTGCCATCCAGTTGTACGTCATAAACCTAGGGCATAAGAGGTTTGGTGGGCAAAGAACATCATGAAAACGAACAGCACAAACCAGATTTCAGGGAAAAACCTCATCCTTATCATCGCTTTCCGGTAAGCCGACTGAATCCTCGAGACCAGTATTGACTTGTCCTTCTCTTCTAGCTCCAACGGGTTACCCTCCTCCCACTTCAAATACGCTTTCCATTTCCCCACATTCTGTCTTTCAGGAGCCGTAAACGAAGGTAATGTAGGTAAAAATAAGTCTGGTAGTACTCCTTGCGGTGTTGGAACAGCTGGAGGGTAGAGTGGGGTCGTGTGCTTGGTGAGTTCACGCAAGACCGATTTGGCTTGGATGTACGCAGGCGAAAGGTCGGTCATAAATTTCTTGGCTGTGATACGGTTCAGACCATTTTCGAAGGATTCGAGTTCGCTCCAGAGATTTTCGACGTTACTCAGAGGAATTTGGACAGCTCGATGGAGAACTTTCCGGATCGCATCATCTTTTTGTTGCTTCTCCCATGGTGAATTTGTCTGTAGGCAGTTCCTTAGTTAGTTCGTATTTTCGAGTGGTAGATAACGAGATTGTACATACCTGGCCACTCCTCAGCAACGTCAGGTAATCATGCCAAATGTCACCACTATCCTTGTCATAACCAATCAGGCTCAGAGCGAATTCGTAGGACTTTCGTATTGTATCACGCGTTGATGGGTCAGTGTTGATTCGTCTGTGTTATATATTCGGGTTAACAAAAACCGTCCCATCGCGATAAAGAAGCACTTCTTGCGACTTGCCGAACATAAGTCACATAAAACCGGCACAAATCAACAGACGGTGAATTCTTGAGGAACCTCTTGAACAGTTCTTCGGCTTCGTTGAAGGTATTCGGGTTGTTCAAAAAGTGGTTGATATACGCAATCTGCGCAGAGGACTGTCATGGAAGAAACGGGGTTCAATGTTGAGCACACGCAATTCTCGCAAAACACAACACGCTTAGATTTTTTTCTTAAAGCCGTAGGGTAGGGGGTTGGGTAAAAAAATCACAATGAAACGCACGGTATTGGGGTACTGTTGCAGCAAAGCATCGTAAGCAGCTCTAATCTTCTCGGTCTCGCCACTATCTTCCGCACACGCTACCAGTCTTCTCCATGATTCCGTATCGTATGGTTCCTCGCGCAAATGATTTTGTAGAGATTCGAATTCAGTCAATTGTTGTGGTGGTTGTGCTTCGGTGCTGCCAACTAGAGAGCTTGAGGGATCATCGGACGGTTCAGTCTTCACTGAGGCGTTGTTCATTGACTCAGGACCGTTCGTTTTGTTCAGAAACGAACAAAAGGGAGAACTGTGAAGCAAATCGTGTAGTGTGAACAGTGGCTTGCTTGCTGCCGTCGTTGGTCAGTTGAAGGTTGACGCAATTTCCCGCGGTCAACCCAGCGCTAACACAAGGACTGGGCTAGCGCTCAAGCGCTCACCGCTAGTATATACATCCGATGGCTGGACTACTTTTCGTCAAGCCCGGGAGAAGATATACTTCGATGCAGAGCTTCAGTTTAACTGGTACGGTTCTAAAAATACGAGTGCTATTCTTGAATGATACGAGTTGGATGTCGAAATTCGCCAAGTCCTGAAAAGAAAAAAAGTAAGCTGCAAACGTTGTCCTAGATAGTTCTTCCCTCAATGAAACTTGAGTAGAAGCTTTCGAAGAAATTGAGGTATCATTTTATGGCCGAGTGCACACTACACATTCAGAGACTACGATTAAAGCACAAAAGAAATTTTCCGAATCTTCGAACACCTCCGTGTACATCCCTTTGTAAGACGGATGCAAAAACTTGTGCACAATCGAACGCGGTGGATCGAGTGATATAGCACCACAAGAAATCAGTCGGTTCCAATGAGCCGGAAGGGTGGATATGTCATAGTGAAAACTGACACGTTCAAAATTCGAGACAATCAGACAAAAACTGAACATTGAGCGGTTCCGGTGAGCGCTTGAGCATAGGTGCTTGAGCTTCCAAGTCGGATTCCAAGGGGACGCATGATAAGGAGACATACTTCCGGACCACTTGCAGACCACCCCGGATATGAATGGAGTTGAGTTTGGAGCATTTGTTGAAAGAGATAAATCGGAAGCCATCAACTTGTCGTTCTCGGACTCTCCGAAATTCAACAACACGTGTTGTAGGTTCGGAAGGCGTCCTTGAAGGGTTCGGAAAGACGATGGGGACGAGTACGTTTCGCAAAGATGATAACAAAGTTTCCCTGGAAATGCCAAGCTATGCCAACGAGTTGACGACATACTGACAAGACAGTCAAGTCCAGCTTTGAGAACCTGGCATTCTTCATGTACAATTTCGGGAAACGCCAGATCCAATAGCTCCTCTTTCAAGTATTTCATGAAATTCGTGACCAGGCGGCGAAATTTTTGAGGGCTTTCCTGATCGTCTTGCAAGTTCATCCCGAGCCGAAAGGTCATCGACGACCAAAGGTGAGGTGCTGTCAGAACAATTTTCCTCCAATATCCGCAGACACGAGCCGGTGGTTTCTCGTGAGTAATATCGTTGGTGCCGCAGCATAACGAGAAAATGCGGGTCAATATCTCCGATGGCATCCGACGAATAGGAGACAACAGCGACCGATAATTCTCTATAACCTCTTTCAAACTATCTCTCCGCGTCTCCAGAACGATTAATCTTGTTTTCAGCCCATTAATTTCATCCTGGTAAGCCTTCAGGTCGGCCTCTGCATCGACTAGATATTGGCTGATAATTGTCGCTGTGAAGAGAATGGTGTGCGACGAAAAGTGACGAGCTCTTGAAATACAGAGAATGAAAGAGGCTCTG